TTGGAACCGTTTGTTTGGTGAGAGAAAGAAAGAGGAGGAGAACTGACCGGGGTTAGAGGCGGTGAGAGTGGCGGTGCCGGCGAAGTCACAGGCGCCGGAGGACTGAGACTTGCGTTGGAAGTAGCTGTTAACGGCGTAGTTGCAGTGAGCCCTCACGGTGTTAGGTTGGAAGCAAGGTCCGCTCGGACGGATGGGGTTACAGTCAGCTCCTGCTCCACAAGCATAGTCCAGCGTCTTCTGCAACACTTGGTCGCTTCCGTCCTTGCAGACGCACCAGTTCCCACCTTCCACAATTCAAAACCCAGACCAAGTAAAAATCAACACAGATTTATACAGACTCTCTAAGTTGGAGAAAAAGAAGAATGCGTACTGGAAAGGGGGGTGAAGGCCACAAGAGCGAGTGCCAGAAGTAGAAGAGAAGCCATGTTTGAGGAATACAAGAAAGAAGCTGGATGGATGAGAGAGAGAGAAGGATGGGAAGAGAAAATATGACAAATGAGAGATGGGGATATGTGTAAATGGCCTGCTATAAAGTCGGATGACAGTGGCCGCCCCTTTAATTCCGGTGTCGTTTTGTGCTGGCTTTTTCATGTTGCTGTAAATAAAAATTACTTTTCAAAATTATGGAAGTCCTTAAAATTTAGACATATTGTCATCAATTAATAGTAATACGTATATTATCTTTATAATTTAGAGTAAGGATATCTTATTTTTGTGCTGATTTTTTTAAAAGTTCCGAGGGGTCGTGGGCCCTTGAATCGGGCAGAGCTCTTTACCCGCTATCGAGGACAGAAAAATACAGAAGCATTGGGAGTTGCGAAAAGCGAATAGGGCGGAAAATAAAAGAGGCGCAGTCTTGCACCGCTTTCTGGAGCCTTGAAACATTTCAAAGCGCACCGGAGTCACTGATTTTTGTCTTTTTTTTAATGGGCACACACTAAAAGCATGAATTCACAACAGCACGTACAATTTTTGGCCAACCACAACAGCACGTACAATTCGGAACTTTTACTTTAAAAAAAAAGTCTCATGAAACTGGACTATGAGATGCTAACTAGCAAAGTAATACTCTTCCGGTTCTTAATATAAAACTTAATTTTTAAATTGGTTTTGGTTCTAAATATAAGACTCATTTCTCATATTTATCAATTTTCTTTAAATTACTCCTATAGATACTCTCCCCCCATAATCAAGTAGAAGAGGGAGAGGGGTATTAAGAAAGATGATTATGGTATTTTGGGAAAAATGTGTCACTTTTCTTATAATTAACTAACTTACTTAACTTTCTTAATCTAATCAAATTAGTTAAATGGGTCTTATATTTAGGATCGGAGGAGTAATTTTTTTAAAATTAGAAAGACATATACTAGTGGTCTAAGATAATAAATGAGATCAAATCAAAGTTTTTATATCACTGAATTACCCCAGCTATAGTGGACACCTCCAATCGTACGGAGTATTACTTCTAAATGGGCTAATGAGTTCCATCTTGATGATACACTTTACATCTCAGAACAAAAACAATCCTTGAACTCTTTAAGCATAAATCAGAAATGAGATTTTGAGGAGTCTAAGTGAAAAAGAGAGCCATCAAGTGGATTGGGCAGGAAAGGCTCCAAGCTGCCGCCACATGCACAGAGATGACCTTGGGCCATACCCATGGCCTCTTAGTAACAGTGCTCACCATTTAATCGGCTTCTCTGGGACTTCACTTACGAATACTTTAACCCAACTGGGCTAATTCTTTTTTTTTTTTTAACAAAAGAAATGAAACACGTTAAGTGAGTTGGATACTGAGGGCTCATCAAAACCCATACATACCTTCAAGTTCAAAAAACACTTACAAAGATACTTACAGATCGTCCACTAACAAGATTCTCAAATTGGCAGCGGGATTCGAACTCACGACCTTGTGGGTTATGAACTGACTCCTTACTGATTAGACCAACTCTTATTGAAAATACCGTATGATTATTTCAATACACAAACAACTAATGGAGTTTGTTCAATTGATAACAACTCAATTCATAACTCATAAAGTCATAAGTTTAAATTTTGCTCCTGATACGAGGGCTTTGTTAGTAGATAATCTGTGCATACTTTTGTAAAATGTCTCCAAATTTTAAGATATGTCTTCACCTTGGTGAACTCGCAGATATTTAAGTTATCTAAGTTTTTGTATTTAAAAAAAAAACACACAGACGCAGATCCAAATTCAATTGCCTTACTGCTACCTTGGTCGCTTACGGTTAGTTGCCTAAACGGCAACGCTGGTGTCCAGTGTGAGGCTGGTATTTCCGTTTGTTTGGCTTTTAAAACACTGCGGTATTAAAAATGTAAATTAATATTAATACATAATTGATGACTGACATTGATAATTGAGTATTGAATTGGTGACTCTATATATGTCGACGCTGACATGAATGATCCCCTGTAAGAAGCGCCACGTAACCATAATTTGTTGTATTGTTTCAGAATTTAACGTCATCCTGCTAATTTATTCCTATTCTGATTTTCTGACTTCAGAAAAAATCTTGCACGCTATGTCCAGATCTCTACATGATGCTCGTTTTCCTTTACTTTAAACTGTTTAGACTTGAATCCAGCAGTACAACTTTGAAAATCTTGTCTATAATATGTTTAACTACGTACGATCATAGTTAATGTTAAAATAATATCTTTCTTACATATGTTTTGCTCTCCACAAAAATACAAAATGTCAAAATTAAAGAATATGAAATCATGCATCAAAATATAATATGGACAATTATCTATGCAAGAGCCACTAGGGGCGCACCATGTGTACTCCATCTGGTCAACTAGTGTGACTCCCGGTTTGTTTGACCAACTTTACGTTTACAGTAAGGTCAATCTTTTTACGTATATGATAATGAAATTTAGACTGACTGATAATTAACGTGAATATAACGTTTATACATATTTAAGTATACTATTGTTTTAAAATGTAAAAAATTAAATTAATTTTTGTAGCACACATAGAATTCAAATATACAGGAATAGGGTGTAGTCAATGAAATGGAAACAGAGATAAAAATCATGTTCTAGAATGAACAGATCACCATAGAAAAATTGGAGCAGTTGCAATTATCAAAAATTAAAATTCCTTTACGTTTACTTATTTATTTTCTCTTGTGTTTTTCAATAGTCATCATTTGCGATATGAAATTGTTGGATTAAATTTAAACATCGTTGCGTTTAAGAATGGCTCTCCTCGTGGGATTTTTTCTCTTCCCTCCTCTAAATTTCTTCTTGTATATACGTTTTTCTAGTTTGGCTAAAGTATACATTTGGTCTTTTAACTTTATACAAGATTTTAGTTTGATCTTTTAACTTTAAAAAGTATACTTTTAGTCTTTTAACTTTAAAATTATTAGTTTTAAATGATAATTTTTTATAACAATCAAAGTTATTTTGAAAATTAAATTTAATACTACCTCCGGTCCTAATTATAAAAGTCAGTTGACTAATTTGAGCAGATTAAGGAAGTAAGTTGAGTTAGTTATTTGTCCTAAATAGGTGTTATTTTTCTTAAAATATCCTTGCTAATCAAGTGTATTAACTAGAATTATCATTGTTAGAAGGACTACTGTAAAAAAAAATATAAATATGAAAAAACAAAGTAGATTGGAGTCTTATATTTATAATTAAAATAAAAGTCAAACAAGATCTTATATTAAAGACCGGGGGTAGTATTACAGTATCTAGTAACATTTTATCAACATTCAAAAACTCAATGTTATCATTTCTTGTTAATGGTTATAAGATTAGAGGACTAAAAGTTTACTTTTTAAAATTAAGGGACCAAATAAAACTTTATGTAAAGTTAAATGACCAAAAATATACTTTAGCCTTCTAGTTTTCTCCCTGCTTAAATCAAATCACGTAAATAGCAACACAGTGACGTAAACAACTAAGAAAACAAGTTACAGGCATATATCCACAGTCCACGCATGGGGCAGTATAGGAACACAAAATCCACAGAGCAAGGATGAGACAGAAAAATCAACCGATTCCTTTTGAATCACAATGCTGTAAATGTTCGGATTCCATGAATTCAAAAAATTAAATTGACTTGTCCAATCGCTAATGTAATATTGTGGCTGCATTATTAGTGCTCTTCCTATTGAGTTATTTATTAAGGGAAATATTAATAATAAATAAAATACTCCCTCCGGTTCCTATTACAAGCACATGATAATTAACAACTTTACATAAACTAATGAAATTAGTAAAAATGAGTTATTTCTTATAAAATATTAAAATTATTCTTGATAAAATCAATTAACTGTACAGGAGTTCGGTTAATTAGTTAAAAAGTTTTATGATTTGTTAGAAATACTAATATGAAAAAAATTATAATACTTTAAACAAAACATGTTAAAGATCCTGGCAGGAGTATTTAGAATGAAATTGAAACTTGTCCCAGCCGCTTTAAAGATGCCAATCTAAAAGGGAAAATTAATTTAAAGATTTAAAAAGCCGTTTTATCCTTCTATTTATAGTCGACTACAGGGCTATAGACTACAGCTCAGGGGGTTGAAATTTTATAAGAAAAGAAGACCCAAAAAATTGCAAAAATTAACAAAGTTAATAAAAAAAAATTATTGCATGTATTGCATGAAAACACGTGTAATTAAATCCTAATAAAAACGCCACCAATCTAAATTCACCTATTTTTTATTTTAAATTTCAACTTTCCCTTTTGTCATCAATTGCATTCGGGGTACGTATGTAGCTATTCAGAAACTTAATACATGGATGGTGGACACAACAATACAAACCATATAGGCAAGCACGTGCACCCACCGCACTTAACCAACTCAGATTAACACTAAACCATATAAGTTTTCTCCGTCTCTATATATGCCTAAACCATCCACTTTCATATACCACAAACACTATATATATATCGTACTATTACTCTCACTCACTTAGCCACACAGTTGTGCACCGATCAGTGTCTCGGATCCACATATATAATATGGATACTGCGACTGTCTCTTCCCCTTGGCTTCTGGGCTTGGCTACGCTTGCATTAGCCAGCCTCCTTTATCGGCTTCTTAAGATCTTTAATCGTCCTTCTCTTCCTCTCCCTCCTGGTCCTACACCATGGCCTATAGTAGGAAATATGCCTCACCTTGGCCCTATGCCGCACCAGGCTCTAGCCGCCCTCGCTCGCCACCACGGTCCTCTCATGCACCTCCGCATCGGCGTCGTTCACATAGTGGTGGCCGCCTCCGCTTCAGTCGCCGAGCAGTTCTTGAAGGTTCATGATGCCAACTTCTTGAGCCGCCCACCCAACGCCGGAGCCAAGTACTTGATGTATAACTATCATGACCTCCTCTTCGCTCCCTACGGCCCACGGTGGCGGATGCTCCGAAAGATCACCGCCGTCCATATGTTCTCCAGCAAGGCCCTCGATGATTGTAGGCATTTCCGTCAGGTTCATTTTTAACCCGAGAGAATTTTCCATTCTCAGCAAGAAAACGGACAGTACGCAAATATATAACACATCTCAAAGAGAAATAATATAAACTAATTAACACAACATGCATTTATATAGTAGTATATAATAATAACTCTAGCAAATTTTATTATGCATCGGTCATGAACATGAACAGACAAATTATTTTTAAGACACAGTGTAATACTCATGCTAATTTTAGTTATGCACTTCTTAAAATACATGGCAAACTATTTTCTAGATGATGATAATCTTACACTAGCAAGATTTCGCATGCTGTGATTTTGTTCTCTTTTCTCTATGTGCTCGCGCCAGTACGTGTCAAGGGGATTGAGAGAGAGAGACGTGGCATTAAATTAATTGATGAAAGCAAGTATTGCAGGAAGAGGCAAGAAGGCTGGTAAGTAATCTGGCAAAGGTTGGGTCAAGTGCTGTGCAATTAGGGCAACTGGTGAACATATGTGTGACTAACGCGCTAGCAAGGGCAATGATAGGGCGGCGCGTGTTCAACGACGTTAGCGGCGGGAGCGATCCCAAGGCGGAGGAGTTCAAGTCAATGGTAATGGAAATGATGGAGTTGGGCGGAGTTTTCAACATCAGTGACTTCGTCCCGGCGTTGGAGTGGCTCGACGTCCAAGGAGTTCATGCCAAGATGAAGAAGCTGCACAAGAGGTTCGACTCATTCCTGACCAACATCGTCGAGGAACACAAGGCTTCTGAGAGACACAACCACAAGGACTTGTTGAGCACGTTATTGTCGCTTAAGGAAGTTCAGAATGACGAAGGAGCTACTCTCACCAACGTTGAGATCAAGGCCCTACTTATGGTACCATACTCTTGTCTGTAAAATGAACTTCTTTTTTTTCTTGGCCTTTGGTTTTACTGACGATACGACAATTATATTGACTGGTGCAGAACTTGTTTGCCGGTGGGACAGACACGACAACAAGCACAACGGAGTGGGCCATGTCAGAGCTGATTAAGCACCCGAGCATGCTGGCTCGAGTCCGGCAAGAGCTAGACTCAGTTGTGGGTAGAAACAGACTCGTGAACGAGTCAGATCTACAGAATCTGTCATACTTGCAGGCTTTCATAAAGGAGACCTTTCGTCTCCACCCTCCAACTCCTCTCTCTCTGCCGAGGATCTCAGATAGCGACTGTGAGATCTTGGGTTACCACATCCCCAAGGGCGCGACTCTGCTGGTGGATATCTGGGCCATAGGTCGTGACCCTAACGAGTGGTCCGAGCCGTCGGTGTTCAAGCCTGAGAGGTTCCTTCCCGGCGGCGAGAAGGCTGACGTCGATATTAAGGGGTATGACTTTGAGGCCATCCCGTTCGGTGCTGGTCGTAGGATCTGTCCTGGCGTGAGTCTGGGCCTCAGCATGGTTCAGCTTCTAACAGCAACTATGGCCCATGCTTTTGAGTGGGACCTGGAGGATGGAGTTAACCCAGAAAAGCTTGACATGGAAGAGGTTTATGGGATAACCCTCCAACGAAAGGTCCCCTTGGCAGTGAACCCAAGACCCAGGCTCGCCCCACATGCTTACTCCTAGTTTGTCCGCCTTCATCCCATGTCTCATGTTTTGAGCTGAAGACTTTAGACTGTCTGCTGATAGCCAAGTTAAATAAATCGTAGACAAATATACGAGTGTGTCGGATATATTTCTTAAATGTGCTTTCTGATGTGCTTGCAAATATTTTTTGGGTTCCGTTGCCCCATGAGATGTAGAATTTCTAAATAAAAAGCTGGCGGTGTGGACTCACAAGTTCAACTAATGCGTCAAGATCATCTCGGTTCAACAATGCCCACACCCCTCATGGAGAGGAGGTTGTGGATTCTGTATCCGGATGTTGCGAAAATGGGCTAAGGGGGTGGGTGTGCGGATTCACCCTTATGAGGGGAGGGTTTAAATAATTAAATTGTCCAACCCCCCCCCCCCCAAAAAGAAAAAAAAAACCAAACTTCAGCCAATCCCGCCTCTGTTTTTATGCGAAGACAATGGAAGGAAAACCTTTCTTTTTGTGAGTACGTGGATATCTTGTTATTATTGAAGACAATCAAAATATTATTGAGCAATAAATATGGATATTTCTATTAACAGGGTCTCAAGTTGGTGACTGAAAAATAGCAGAATTATAGTTTCATATTAGAGCCTGTTTGGATGACATCTAAAACTATGGTTTGGAAGGCAAAACTATAGTTTAGATAAGATGACATCCAAACAGTCTCAATTTTTTTGAAACCTTAGTTACAGCTGAAACAATGGTTTGGTGAGAAGTGAAAATTGTTGCTTCTGGGGAGTGAAAGTTGAGTAATTAGAGTGATAATTAGGAGTCAGATCGGAGTAACAGTATATTTTGACCAAAAACACCCAAATTAATAATTTTCACGGAAAATTAATAATTTTCTGTTCACAGCAAAATAAGTCATCTTCTCCAAAAATATTTTTACTCGTATATTTTATAAATATATATCCATGTATTAACAATTAATTAATTAATTATATTAAAGATAGGAGCTAGTATGTTGTTACAAAAACTAGTTGTAAAAAAATATTATGGAATTTCATGTTTAAAATCTTTAAATAAAATCAATCTTTTTACTGTTAGTGAAAAAAAGTATTTTTCTCTAAACATATTTAATCTTATATTTTATAAATATATATACACATATTAATTACATTATCTTATATATTATTAATTATGTTGGTAAAAAATATATTATTAACAATTTTATTACTTTAAATTAAAATATATGATAAAATTTATCTTTTATGTAATTATCATATTAATTTATGCTTCTTTTTAGTAATTTGTATATATAAAAAGTACTTATGATAATAACTATCCAAACATTCTCACTTCATCAGAATCACTTTTTCACAAAATCCATTCTTCATAGAATCTATTCTCTCTATAATCTATTTTTCAGAAACTATTCTTTAAATCATAGTTTAGTTTTGACCTTGATGGTAGAAGCCATGAGCCTGAGGTAACGTGATTTGGGTGTTGGGCCTTACAGAGCCCAGCTTCCTCAAAATGTGGGGCGTGGACAATTGCTCTCCGGGTCACAAGCTTTTAACACGCAGGGTCGGAGAAGGGATGATGGATGAGACGGACAGCGATGCTTATGTACAGATAAGATAAGAGCCATACCAATTGTGGTCTCCACTCCTTAAAAGTAATAATTACAATTCTTTCCAAATAAATTCTCCCTTTTTTTTTGCCATCCCAAATAATAGTCCTTTTAATTTTTGCTATGATGACCTGGTGGCACGTGAAACGCATAACATGCATTTGTTTTGTCATGTTTTGTTTCTTAGCAAGGCAATGTTAACGTTACATCACGCTTCACCCAAAACAGAAACCATGTCACATCTTTAGTTTTTTTTTTGTATAAAAAAAATTAGCTTGTTGGCTTTGTATTTTGCCCAACGCAATAAATACTTTAATCCCAATCATCATAGTGGTGTTGTGGTTGCCAATAGCAACATATTCATTAACATATCCATAAAAATATTATTATCCAAATTTTATATGTTGAGTAAATATGCCAGCTCACCTTGATCAATGATGACCATGTATTTTCGTGTGCTTTGACGGACCATTGCAGTTAATTATTTATTTCTTGGCCGGCAATTGCAGTTATTTATCCAGTTAGAGATCAATATCGACTTCTCATAATTTTTTTAAAAAAAGAAGAGATTAATATCGACTGTTATGAATGAAATACTATAATTACTTAATTATAAAAATTTTATAAAAAATAATTGAGGAGTTAATTACATCATATCTTTAAAAAAAATTCATTTATGGCCGCAAAAATTTACTATTGACACAATTAACTCGCGTCAAACTGAACTTTTTTTCCAAGTAAAATTTTGAATTTTTTGGAAAGCTTATGGGTGAAGTAAATGGAACATGAAAAAGAGGAGGAGGAGAATTCAAATGACGTGGGGATAAGTTTTAGCACATCAATGAAGCAAGTAAACGCAAGACGAAATGAGACGCAAGCAATTAGGATAGGATGGCCCCATGCCAACCCTACTAACTTGTTAATCCCCAATCCCGCCGAACATGCCAAAAACCAAAAAGAAAAAGAAAAAAGAAAATCAAACTTATTAAATCACGTTTGATGTGCAAGTTCGATAATCATTGTTTAAAAAAAATCGTATTAAAATCTTATATTGAACGAAGAGGCTAAAGAATGATTTGTACTGGTCATTGTTAATGTTTGACAAATAAATGTTTTATTAAATACTAGTCACTTTATACAATTCTACATAAACAGTTTAATTATTAAATAACTTCATAACGAATTAGTGCCCGTATGTCATTTGTTATAGTAGAATTTATCATTATATAATTGTATGCTTGTCACTTGTTGTGAAGTTTTTAATAATTATATTATTTACAGCACAGTATCTTTTTGAAAAAACATTAGTGATTGCACGGGGGGCATGCTAAGCCTGTACTTTAATTGATCGTAATAAATTTTGATGTTATGATCATTACCAAATTGAAATGCCGTTTAAATCTCATTTGTTATGTTATTTATTTTTATGTACTCCTCCGATCCTAAATATAAAATTTTATACATACTAATATAAAGGTCTTATATTTATGATCGGAGAATATTAAATGTCAATTAGTGCTCTCCCTAGAAACTTTGAGAAATAAGTTTTATTGTTTTCCGTAAATAACATTTTGTAAATCTTTCTAGATTATAAATAAAATTTGTTATTGTGGGTGCATTAAACTTGTTCCACTTGAATTAGAGGATTTGTATTTAAATTAAACTGTATTCAGTACTCCGAAATATTTTTTCCGGTACAACTATTATCCTAAAATATTTTGTGGTACATTCATTATTCTGAAACATTTTTTTAGGGTGTGTTTGGATGAAACCAAACCATAGTTTAGAGGATAGCTTCTGGAGAATAGATTCTAGGGAGCATAGATTTTGAGGAGAATAGATTTTGTGAAAAAATGATTCTGAGAAGTGAGAGTGTTTGGATAGTTGTTATCAGAAGCACTTTTTATATATACAAATTACTAAAAAAGACATAAGTTAATATGATAATTACATAAAAGATAGATTTTATGATATATTTTAATTTGAAGGAATAAAATTGTCAATAATATATTTTTTACCAACATAATTAATAATACATAAGATAATATAATTAATGAATAATTAATATGTGTATATATATTTACAAGATATAAGATTAATATGTTTATAAAAAATTAATTGAGGGATGTTAAAATCATATTATTGTTGAGATCTACTCTGACAGGCACAATTATACTCTCCAATTTGAGCCAAAAGCAGAATGGATTCACTTCTCCTGAAACCATAGTTTCGGGTTATGACATCAAAATTGATGCTGTTTTGGTGATATTCCACCCAAATCATGGTTTTGCCTCCCAAACCATCGTTTTGGGAGTCACCCAAACAGGCCCTTAGATGTGTCCAAAACCGTAAATTATTTTTTGATGCATTTAACATATCAAAATATATTTTTTTTGCGTCTAGCACTCAAAAATATGTTTTTGTGCATTCATTACGAAAGCGAAAAAAATATTTCTAAACATTAGATGCGTTTAAAAAGTATTTTAAAATACTGAATACATCATATAATATTTTAAAATGTTTGATATATTTAAAAAATATTTTGATATGCTAGATACAGTTTAACATTTTATATTTTATAGTTGTTCAAACTAATCCCAAATTGTAGGCCGATTCGCAGTCGTATTAGATAATTTGATTATTTCTTTAATTAATGCGCTGCTTATCTTATTACCATCCTGCTAATATTTTTCAGGCCCAAAAAAAAAATTCCTGCTAATATTTTACTATCTTACCGTATTAAATAAACAAGAAAGCTCAGGCCACAAAAATAATACTCCTCCAGTCCTAATTATAAGATCCAATTGATTTATTTGAGGAAATTAAGGAAGTAAGTTAAGTTGGTTATTTATAATAAATAAGTGTTGTCATTCCTAAAATATCCTTGCTAATTAAGTATATTGGCTAAAACTATCATTATTAGAAGGATTATCTTGGAAAAAAATGCATAAATATAAGAGACAAAATGGATTGGGTCTTATAATTAGGACCAAATAAAAAGTCAAATTGGGTCTTATAATAAGGACCGGAAGAGTAAATAATTAAATAAAACCCGATGAAGAAACTTCCACAGACCGAAGTCGTTCTCGTTCGCCGGTGGAATGAGCGTTGCCTTCTCAATCCACCGTACCCGGAATGTCACCCAAACCTCCATCATCCATCGCCCAAGTTGCAATTTCAGCTAATCGAATCTTTTAAACTCTCTGATCTTCTGAATTTATCATGTTTTGAACCCCTCCAACCAAACGTCACCCAACTATGCTCGTTCGGTTTCTCAAAACCCTTTTCTTCTCAATACACCAATCTGATTCCAGCCTTTGATATCAGTAAATAAAAAGCGAGGAAGAATAAGGAATAGTAATTAATCCACGCGAAATGATGTCAAGGAATCTCCTTCAGGCCATCCAAACCTCGCTGTCTCTCCCTCCAACTGCGAGCCCTGCGTCGAATACCAGCGATCGAGGTCTAAGATCTCTCTTCTCTTTGTCTAATTGCAATGGTTTCTGGTACGACGCCTTCCTTGTCGTTCCGTCGGTTTTGTTTGTCCTGTATCTGGCGGTCCACGCGAAGAAGAACCTGAAGAAACTCTATAATGGAGGATCTCATGT